CATCTTGGCCCTGAAAACTTTGGCAATATATGGAGGATCTAGATGACATCACCACAGGAAATTAACTTTTGAGCAAAATCTCTATTGGCTAGCTATTTAGGGGGAGAATGTAGACTCTGAGAGAAATAGTATCCCTTCCCTTTTTTTGTTGATGGGCACTTTTCAGGCTCCTGTGGTGTCACCATCGGGTCCTCTAAGGGTCTCACCAAAGTTCTCCAGAAGAAAAGAGCAAAGTCAAAATGTGCAAGAAAACAAAGCAAGCAGAAAGTAGTAACCACCACACTTTCTGAGAGCTGTAAGCGAGCAGCAAAGAACATCAGCCTATGCATTGCTGTATTTTCTTGCAAATTAACCTGGCCCCAAATAAAACACACTTTGTTTTTTGGAACGCAGAATGCAGAAAAGAAGATTTTTTTTCCAGAGTTATGAGCAACTGTGTGTCATAAAGTAAGTTCTCCTGGAAACACGGAGTCCAGGATGTGTGCCATCCTAGGGAACTGTCTGGGTGAGGCAGCAGGAACTTGTAGGAAGTTCCTGCTGCCTGTTGCCACACAGATGGTGAAGTTAGGCCCCTACATTCCCAGGTCCCAGGAGGACTTGCTCTGTGTCATACAAGGCTAGGCCTCAGACCCTTGCAGGGGCAGAAGCAAGATGGTTAATTTTTACTGTAAGTAATCTATATAAGTTCCTGTAAATAAAGTATTGTGTCCATGTCATAAGTCTTATCCAGATGCTACCAGCAGCTCCCTTGCTGCTTCATGCACAAGCTACTGTGCTCAGCCAATAACTACAGATGTGAGAAGGTAAACACAGGACTGTACCTTCAGCTTACTGTACGAGACACAAACAGCAGCCACCTTGGCAGCTGCATGGCACACACAGGGTCTCCAGGCATACTACTTTTCCAGTGACGAAAACAGCTTCGCTACTTAAGACATGCACCACAATTTTGGGGAGCTGATTATTGGGGGAAAAGGTGTGTGTTGTATGCAAGAAAATATGGTATTTCTTTCTGTATTTCACCTTTCAATCTTGCATATACTGTTGGGGTCAAGAGGCTGAGACACTAATTTTTTTTTGCTTTCATCCTGTGAGATGGGATGCATACTGTGTCTGAAATGCATATAGGCATCTAAGCCTTTGGAAAGATAACTTGTAGCATGTAGGTGACACAGAGCAATAGCACCTTGCTAAAGACTTGATCCATAGCCCATTGAAGTTAATGGGAGTCTTTCCACTGACTTTGGTAGGCTTTGGGTAAGACACTAAGGCAGCAGCTATAATAAATGATGTATAAATTTTAAGAACATCATCAAAAACAAGGCCAATGCCATCACTTCCCTGAGTCATGTCATCTCCCTCTGTCTCAATTTCCCCCCCTATTCAATAGTATCACTTTTAAGTACCTTGAACAGATGTTGAATAATTCTCAAGTTAGCTCAGTGCCATCATTTGTATTACTTACTGGAAGAGTAACTTGTTGTATGGCATCCTGGAAAGTGATGACTTCTTTTGCATTATAAATAGCTTTGCAGTGTCCAAGAAAAAACAGCATTCAGCAGTTTCTTTAAAAAAGTTTCAAATGGTAAAATAGCACTGCCTCAGGTGGCAGATAAAGGGTCAAATCAGGATAGATGCTCCTGTTTAATCCAGAGTTGAATTGGGCATAAATCCATTAAGTTTTGATTTAACTAATTAGTTATCTAGCCTAGGGAGCTTGTAACTATGTTGGTGTAGCTATCTTTTGAGTATAGGCCAAGGGTGGGCAAAATACAGCCACAGAGGGATTTTGTCCAGCCAATGGCAGGTCCCTTGGTCCCATCTGGCCCAGGTGTGAGGGGCGGCCCAGGCCATGGCATGTGCAGCCAGTCCCGCCATGCAGTGGGGGTGGGACAGTGCGGCAGCTGGACTCCGTTCCCTGGCAGCCCAGGATTCAGCCTTGCTGCCCAGGCACCCCAGCCCATCTGCCCCACACCCACTGCCAGGAGTGGGACCTGTGCGGGCAGCATGCACGGCTGGGTGTCTGGGGCTGTAAGCTGGCAGAGAGTTGTGTGGATACCTTTATATAAAAGTTGGTACATTTGCCTGGGATAGGCAGGTGGAGCTGGGGAGATCCCAGAATCTTGGGGTGGTGGATTACGACTCTCCCCTCAGCCTCAGCCCCAGCCCCATGCTGTCACTACCTCGTGACCCTGCCCTGTGATCCCAGCCTCACCCGCCTGTTCCACTCCCAAACGCCACTTCCCACCCACCTGCAGCCCAATTGCACATAAGGAGTTTCAGTGAGTTGCTGTAGAGGGGGCTGCTGACCTGGCCCATGGCAGCTCAGCAAAACTCCCTATATGGCCCGCAGGACAAAATAATTGCCCACCCCTGGTATGTGCCAGTGCAAAATAAGGTTTACAGTGCTGTGGCTTGTCAACTCCAAGACTGTAGCTATGCAAACAACCTCAGTAACAAGAGGACCTTGGTTTCATGTTAATATGACACTGTTAGGTCATGAATTCTTTAAGATTTCTTCTGTGTTGCAAACTCTGTACCAACAGGGACTCCTTATTTGCTTGGGCTGGCCTGGTGCTGACCAGTTTAATTTTCCAGTCTTCCTGCACTAAGAGGATGTTGATGTGTTTTGGATACATATGCTGCAGGGGATGATGTTTAAAAGGAAATCTACACAGGTGTTTTTCATTGACTTAAAAGAAAAGGAATGTGTTTCTATGTTGAGAAGATATGCAGTGTGTCTTCCTTCTAAAAAGCCTATGTTTTGAAGCTGATGTTGACCCTTTAATTTCCTTTTCATTTAGCTAGATGAGAGAAGGAGACTATGCCCTTTTAGGAAGCAGATCCTGTAGCACCAAAGTACGTTCCTTTCCATTAAGATCAAATTGCTGCTCATTCAACTTATTATAATAGTCAAAATGTAGAAGCTAATGAAATCAAGTCTCAAACATTGCAAAGGCTATCACAATCCAAATTTGCCTCCTTAAGTCAGTGGAAGTCATATTTGCTAGGCTACATGACTGTACAAACAAAAGGATCAAGTTTGTTTTTGCAGACTAATCTCTCAAATGCTCCCAACTGTTGAGATATTAAATTCATAGACCACCTCTTGCCTTGGTGCAGAGGAAGGGTGCTCTCCAAAGCAGTCTGTAACCTCCATGACAGCGTCTCCTAGAGGGCACCATCCATGCCACTTGCTTGATATGGTAGCTTCTCTTTTGTTGTGTCCATGCTTCTCAACTCCCTTTCCTGTGCCAGTAGAGTTAGTGGCAATAAGTCCTTGTGCTTTGAGATTTCTAGGCAGAAGGTGGTAATAGCTGTGCAATGAATTCCTTCCTCCCTGTTATTAATGGTGACCAGGGAATTCAATGTGTAGCAACTTTCAAAATGGCAAGCCTTCTCCATGGATTCCCATTGTTGTTATGGGTAGCTCTCTGTCATAAAATAAGGTCCTCATTCAGTCCCTCTGCCTGGTTCAGATGAAGTGGAGAAGCATGTGTGATTGTGACTGTGACTGCTATGCTAACCACAGTGTGTGTTCTCTTTTTTGTTTTTGTTTTCTGCTTTTTTGCAGCAGGAAGGCCCCTGCCTCACCTACTCGACCCACCATAATCCGACCAGCTGAACCGTCCCTCTTAGATTTATAACTCGAGGCCTGTAGACAGCTGGTGACGAGCGCCGTGCCCATGGCTTTCCCACCCCACCCTCCACAGGCACATTCACTCCTCTCATTCATCCCACATCTTTAACTCTTACCACCCCTTCCCGGTGTGTCGTAAAACGCTAGCTAGTGATTGAGCTCTTCGTCTTCTCTCGTGCGTCCTGTATTGCTTTGTGAGCATAGAATAGTCCTCGTACAATGGTGTGGGACCTTGAAGTACACGGGCTCCTTGGAGCAATCAGCTGCAGGGGCATCATGAAGCCCATATGGCAGCTGTCCATCCAATCACCGGGCCTGCCTGGTCTAGCCTGAACAAAGTGTCTTGCCTGCGTTGGTTAGCTGTAGTGTCTCGGCACCTAGAACTAATCTGTAGCTATGTAGCTATTTTCTTTTGTTGTAGTAAAGAACACAAAGCACGATTCGGAAGAATAATAAATGATACTGTCAAAACATATGGCATTATTGGTAACAAAGGTGAAATGTCCAGTGTGTGGGTTTCATTTAAGGTGCAAAACTTATTATATTGTTGGGAACAGTGCAATCACAACCTCGCATTAAAATGAGACAGGGAGATCAAGAAGGGGGGAACTTTGCAGATCGGTGTAGTCCTAGAGCGCAAAGTCTAAGGTAGCACACAACTCAGGGTGCAAGGAGCAGATGGACTTACTCCTCCTCAGCCCTCCTTTATAGCTGAGGAGATGATGCTGGTGGAGACCCACTGGCTTCTGCTAATAGTTGGCTCACATCACAGCCTCGGACAGACTTTCCAGAAACTGAGAGAGGAATAAATTGCTGATCCCCCCCTTATGCAAATGGACAAGCAGACATTTTCAGGGAGTTTGCTGTGAAATGTTTTATTGCAATTTCTTTGTTTTTGGATAAGCACATTTCTTGTTCAATGTTTTTTGGGTAGCAGTGCAATTCCAGTAGCCTTTTCTTCTTGCATGCAGATGGTACGTGTTTTGGGAAATGTGTAACCATGACGGATCATAATTCATCTTCTTAATGGTTTGGGATTTTTTTTAATGTCATATGTGTAAAGAAAAAAAATTAAGAGTATTAAAACTATATTGATCCCATGTATCTTGAACATTGTGTCTCTGCTGGAGCCAAAGAACCACCCTTCCTGCAGGTTTTGTGCCAGCCCCAATTTAGATTTAAGTTCTCTTATTCCAGCACAGTTATTTTTTATTTCTGTTATGGATCCACTTTGCCTGACATTCGAATGATGGTTCCTGTCTGTATTTTAACTTTTTTTACTGCTTTGTTTCCCTCCCTGTTCCCTTTTCTCTTCCCTTTTTTATTTTCTTTCTTCTGTGTCTCTTTCTTTAAATTCCAGCCGGCCGGGCAAGGCCAGTCCCTCCCGCCCAGAGAGTCCAAAACCACCATTTGACATGTAGCCCTGCTCCCTCTGAGACTCTCTGCCTGCCTCTTAGCTGTTCTGTCCTGGAATGGTCTGACTTGCATCTCACACACGGCTTGTTCTGTTGTATTTTGTGACATACACATATCAGCTGTGACTCTAGTGAAACCTGTTTTTTTCCTTCCAGTTGCTTAAAGGAATAAAAACAAGTATATTGTAGTAATGAGAAACATATCCTTACTGTTATATAAATATCTATAAATATATATATATATATAAGATCAAAATCTATAATGTTCAGGTGTTTTAAGCCATTTGTGCTTCCATGTGGAATTTAGGAAATACTTAAGTAGGTTCAAATCTCTCTCTCTCTCTCTCTCTCTCTATACACACCCACACACACCCAGCAAATTAACTGAATCCTGATATTGAGTTTTTGAGCTGATTGTTAAATTCTCTGCTGTGTACAGTTGGGTTATTGTATTGCCCCAGACTTGTGGGTGAGCTGTCTCAGTGCTGGTAGTAACTGTGATGCACTTTGTGATCTACCTGTCACTCTTCTTTACTGGCTGAAATAAACTCTCATTTCTGTATAATGAAGGATTCCACAACTAGAATAAAAACAGTCTCTGTCTGTGGGCGTGTTCAGGATTTATGTGAATTATAACATTTTAATCCTTTGTCCCAAAGAGGTGGGTTTTTGTGGGGGGCGGGAGGTTAATAAGTAAGTCGCACACGAATGGGTGTTCTCACTTAAAAACAGCTTGTCTAACTCTACTATAGTTGATCCAATAAAAGATGTGCTAAAAATGACTTGAGGGAGCAGAAAGGGGCTGACGTCATGCTATACAGAGGAAATGGCGGTCAGAGAACACTTCTAAGTAAAGGGTTTCTCAACAAGGAAACTAATCATCAGGGATTCTGTCCTCCCCAAGCATGTTAATGCACAGAGTTTCTGGTAAGAGCATCACACACTAAACAACCTCATTCTTTTTCAAACAGCTGAGTATTCCTACTTGCAGGATCTAGCACAAGTTGCTGAATGCTTCTTGCTCTTGAGGATAAAAAAAAGAGACCAGCCTCCCACTACACACTGCTGCATCTGACCACCAGAGGTGTAGCAAACATGACTCTCAGGCAGAGTTCTGAGCACTTGTCTAATTCTGCATTGAGGCAATTTTTTTTTAGCTATTTAGACAAAGTGGTCATTAAAACAGGGTTTGGGTTTGGATTTTTTTTTTTATTCCAACTGAACAAGAGCATGGATATCATCTGGATGGCCTGTAGGAATAAGAGCTGCCTCACATGTCTTTACTGAAAGGGCATCACACCAAGCACAGTTGGCTGTCTAACAATGGGGGTGCCATTATAGTGTGCCTATGCAACCTGTTGTCAGGTCTAGATTGACATAGCTCTAGTACCTACTCTTTCATTCAGTGCCCTATGGCTTAGTGAGAACACTTCTAATCCAAAAGCATCGCTCTGATTTTTAGAGATGGCTGAAACTATTGTTGCTTTATGACATCTAGGGTAAAGCACTGACATCAGTATTTGCGGGGAAAAAAGAGCTTCCCTAGGTTCTGCTCTGCTTATCTTCTGTATATATAGACTGGATAGTGGGCTTTGCAGGCTAAACTGGCTGGAAGTTCTGTTTATCTCAAGCTTGAATAAACTAAATCTGCAGAGCAGTTAGCATTTTCGAAATCTGCATCAGTCAAAGCAGTAACGGCCAACAAATTATAGCAGTATAGGCTTTTGTACTATTAGTATATCTGACCAAGCAATAGTTATGATCCTACATGCATTTAATCAGACTTGCTCAGGTCAGAGAGTCACTTAAAAGAAATAATAAGTTCCTTTCCTTGGATAGAAGACTGCTGAAGGCTAGACCCAAGGGACCGAGTGCTGAACGGTTAGTCCCTCCCAAGAGGGGTGCAATACTTGCATTTTCCCCTACTGACTATGGATTGCTCTCTATACTTTTCGGGAGGTCAGTAGTTTGTAGAGCTAAGCTACAGTTTCTTAAAACCAGAGTTCGGTTCATGCCAAAATCTACTAGTAATCATGGACATTTTTCACTTGAACTGCAAGTCAAACTCTAGCTTGGAGGAGGCACAGACTACCAGAGCAGCAACAAACAATGCCTTATACAACATTAACTTAATAATGCGATGGAAAACTGTATTCTTTCTATGTCTGTGGATGAAGGGATAGGCAGAGGAGGGAGTAAGTGTCAGAGCAGAGTGTTCCTGTGGTCAGATCAGATCTCTCTGGAAAGGAAGAATTCAACTGCTCATTTTCTTGGCCTGGTTTCAAGGGGCTAGAATAAGAAATGCACATGCAGTCAATGCTTGGCTGAATAAGTTTATTCAGAAAGAAAGAAAATTTGTAACAGGATTAAAGTCACCTCTGCAACAGAATGCAAAATGTTTTCCAATAGTGTTTTCCTTCACATTCCTGGAATAGAACACCCAATAAATATTTACTCCATTTATAATAATGCTCCATATTAAATCAGAGCCCTGCCCCATTGCAGTTAGATCATTTTTATAATACAGGTTATGGGCAACCTCGACAGGCAAAAACGCTGCAAGGAGCTATCCGCTTTCTTCAAGGAATATACAAAATGTTACACAGATATACTATGTACACAAACTCGTGCAAATGGGAGCTCGCAGGCCCACCCTGCTAGTGCCCTGCATGAAGCCTCTAACCATGTACTGTGCCAATAACACTGACAGTCAACACTAGGGCTATTCAAATGAAAGGACTTAAAAAAAAACATTGCCATCCTGCCCTGATGGGTTAATGTTCAGTTACTCCAAGTTCAAAGGAGTGCTTTGATTTTTATTTCACAAAACCCCTCTCCCTACTGTAAAATGATAAAAGTTAAAATGCATTAAAAATATTCTAATGCGATGTGCTTTTGGCTTTGGAATGACAATGCCCTGTACCAGATTTACAAAAAAAGAAAGAGAGTTGACTACAAGTAGCGAATTGATTATAGAAGTGATCTGCAGAATAGTAAGCAAAGAGAACCTACACGCCTCAGAGCCTTGTTTGCTGCTGCTTTTCACTTCCTGACAGAATATTACTAGAAGTGGAGCAGGTACATGCTTCTAGGTCACCAACGTGGGATGTGTACTGCATCACTCAAGTAAGTTAGGTCTCTAAAAAACCACGTGTACCTTGGGCGATTCCTAGCTACTCACTGTTGGGCTTGCTAACTTCACAGAGAGGAAGCAGCAAGTATTAGATTTAAACCCGTATGTACTTGTCAAACACTAGATGTTCTGGTATAATTCCTTTTTGCCAGCAGATGGAGACAGTAACTCAGTGTTTGGGCCCTGCATTCATTAACGCAATGTTTTTCAGCCTCAAAGTATTTATCACAGTGCACTTCCAGGTGACAGTCCTTTCTCCTGCGTGTACCCCAAGATCTTAAGGGTGGGGAGCAGAGAAACAGACTTTAAATGTCAGCCTAGAGTACCTCTAATGCACTCGGGTAGTGTAAGCCTTGCCAACACAAGGAGAAAAGGAGATCCAAGAGAAGGGGAAATCCCCAGGGTCCAGAAATTCAAAACAAAGCACATATATTAAGTGGTTTCCATTTACTTATTTCTCCCATTTTTTAAATAAATAAAACCTTTCAACATGTACAGTGAAACATCATCCTTCAAAGTGCAATTCCATTCCTACCCCACCTCCAATCATCCACAAGTTACTTGTTCATAGCAAATAACTGAGCAACCATCCCTAGAGGACTCAAAGCAATGCCAGGCCATTTCTATGTAATCAGAACAATTTTCTTTAAATGTAATGCCGCCTAGGCAGGGAGCCTGTATCTTTTGGCTGTATGACTGACAAGGCTGGTTTCAAATATAGGGTAGGATGCAGCTTAGAGAGAAAAATGGGAGGTTTAAGATCTGTGGTATGAAATATAGAAATAATTATTCTGAATCTAAAGAGTTTCTTACCAGAAAGAGGGAATTATTTTGGAAACTTTTTAGAAGAAGATGGACAGGTTGCAATCTTAACTGGTAAAATAGTGTCACTAGCCAATCTGCTAAGACGTTGGCCACCAACAGTAGAGGTTTCTTTCTGGCGATGGGGCTGCAGGAAGCAAGTGATCAAGTTCCTCTGTTAGAGATCATGAAGTCCCCCCACTTTCATATGACCCACCTGTGGTGGTGGTAGTGACTGCCTCATGATTAGTTCAAGTCAAAGTCTGTACTCAAGAGTGCACCAAGTAACAGGAGGAAAGGGAAAGAAGATGAAGTCTGGTGCTAGAGCTCCACCTGATGCAATCCCTCTTTCCCCATGTCTTTAAAGAGAACATCTACCCTGACCAGTAGCACTGGTTAGAGATAACAGGGCAAGTACTATGCAGCTTGGGTCCTTACAGGCTCACAGAAAATTGTTGCAAGTCAGGTTTCTGGTGCCATTTAAACCACCATGATTTTGACCTCATCGTTCTCATCAGCACGATAGAAGAAGGGAATACATGGGTTTTCCAACAGGGAGCCCAGCCTTTCCTGAGGGTTTTGGATCTCTCTCAGAAGCTGCATAATCTGTTTTGCAGTGGGGTCCTCTGGGCTGGGCTGTGGGGCTTTGCTGTCGCTAGGAGATGAGTTGGCTTGAAGAACTGCAGCTTCCTGTTCTGGTTCATCTGTTAAATTCACCTCTTGCAATCCTGTGAAGAGACCAGGTAGGCAAATTACTATTCCCAACCAAACACCTAGCCCTCAGGTTCACCCTGCTAGCAATCAGGAGCCACTGATGAGTGTGCAGGCTGTTGCTCACCTTCTCCATCAGTAGCATTAAGTTCAATGCGCCTCTCCAGTGGAACGGCACTTTCAATTTGATTTGCCAGCAGGTCTGGGTTCTGAGCAGCTGCCATGTACTTGCTGTACCATTCATTTCTTTCTCCAACCAGACGCATCACCAACTCCTGGAGCTCCAATAACTTATTCTGCAGCAAGTTACAAAGAAAGGAAAGGCCACAAACTTTACATGTCCTGTGCCACAGGTAACACACAGCCCTCACTGACTCTAGAGGAAACTGCCAGTATCCAACTTAACCTGACCTCAGTTGCAGACAAACTAGAACATACTCGGAATGGCAGGATCCACATCTCCAGAAACATCTCCAGAGTTCTAAAAACAATGCTTATTACAATTCATAGGTTTGAACCTCATTAAGAGCAGGCACCTTAGCAGATGCAAAGACTTCTGGTTTCAAAAACTTTCCAAGTCAATTTACTGTACTTTCCTTTATCCCAAAGCTAGTAGTGAATCTGGCACAGTACAACAATCTCCTTTGGAGATGCTACTAGCTCGTGGTCCTGTAGGACAGAATTCAGTCTCAGGCAGAGTCCTGTGGAAATGTTTGTTGTGGGTATGTCCTTTCTGAGCCCTGCACTTCATCAGCTACTATGTCATCTCCATCAGTATGCGCCCCTGCACACTCCACACATGCTCCATGGCTTCTTACCCATGGTGCGAGTACTCTTGCCCTGAGAGAATTTCTCTTACCTTCATCTCTTCCTTATCCTGGGCCAGTCGGCTGATGTACTCCTCCTTCTCCCGATGCCGCTGTTTGAGGATAGCCCTCTGACTCTGGTACAATGCAATATATTCCCCTGGAACACAGGAGGAGCATAGGGTGACTAAGAAAGGGGTTACAACATATAGCATTTCTCTCTGCTTGAGCTTTACATCGTGGGTGAATAAACAATAATGCTTTACAGTCCAGCTGGCAGCAGCCTGGACACTGAACTGGAAACCTGACTCAGCTAGGTAACATTAGGATGCAGCTGGAGGCCTGGCAGTAGAAAGCCTGCCTGGAGCTGAAATTCTCAGGGTCCATTAACAATTAGAAAAAAACCTGTAGTTTTACTGCATAACTGAGAAACATGTTAGTACACTGTGCAGACTTCACTGAGCTCATTCTTGTGCTGGCTGATCTTACCAATGGTGTCTGTTTCCCCAGAGAGCTGTATACAGCGATGCTCCAGCTCCTCCAACCGCTCCTTCAGGTCAGCCTTCTCATGCATCACATCTGTAAAACGGGACTGAATACACAACTAGTATCAGCCTTCTGAACTACAAGTGTACAAGGAATATGTATAGAAAATGATAATCCCCATCCCATCAGACTAAGTGCAGGGAACAATACTGTTCTTTCCTTCTTGCTTGTCTCTTGTAGGAAAATCTGACTGCTTGTGGATGAAAGGGAATATACAGAACAGAGCTGAAAAAATGTGACAAAACATTTCTCCCTTCTTGCAGCCAAAAGGATAAAGAATCCTTTTGATTTCTCCCCACCACGCTGGACTTTCCCAATCACTGAAGAGGCTTGGCAATCTTGGAGCCTAACAGCACCTTTCTTCCTCATTTCTGTGGGATGACTCATTTTTAAACCTGCCTGCCAGCTACTGCTTCAGGAAGAGATCAAGAAGAAAAGCTGGCCCCATGCCCTTTGCAGAATAACTACTGCAGCAGTTTTACCAGGACGCGAGACGCATCCAAAAGCTAGAAAGCAGAAGCAAGTGACAGGTTTGTCACAGGAAACTTGGCAATGTAGGTCACAGAAACCAGAACCCTGTCATTTATTCCACGGCAATCTCAACTGTGTCCTCTATACAAGGACTTGACAGCAAGCACCAGAACTCAGCAGAGAGCAGGGGATGGTGTCAGATGCTCACCTGTAGTTTCTCCATGGCAGATTTTAAGGCCTCATGAACCTCCACTGGGACAACATCTGTAGTGGAACCTGGAAAGGAAACAAACGGATTCAGGAGGAACTATATGAGGAAGCACAATGAAGTCCAATTCACTCTGGGAAAGGCACCAACTAGCATGGCCATCAAGCGCTTTTTCCTTCCCATTCCCTTCAACACAGCACAAGTAGCTTTACCTCCACCCAATGTAGCAGTATGTTGCTGTTCCTGCCTAAGAACTACTATTTGCTGCAGGAGGCCTCGGCATTGTTGTTTCTGTACACTCAGCTGGTGTCTCAGTTCTTCTCGCTCTTTCTCCACTTGGGACATAGTGGACATCAAGAAAGCGACCTAAGAAGCAATACCAGACGTTGCACTTGAGTGCTTTTCACTTATGCAGCGTTGCTAATCAATTACCACAGAACCCTAAGAATTACCCCATTTTGCATATGGAGAAGGTGCAAAGAAACTGAGTGATCCACCTCTCCACAAGTGTTTTAATCAGAGTTAGGAATCAGGAGGGGCTTTACTGAGAGTTCTCTGCATTAGCCTTTGCCAAGGGTCCTGTGCGTGCCACAATTCTGTAACTGCAGAACTCTGAGAGGGACATTAAGGGTTTTTTCTTTTGTTTTTTAATCTCAGTTTTCCTTTTCAGTTTTGGTCCTGGACCTCAAAGCTAAGAACAGGGCTGTCCAAACAGCAGCAGCAGCTCTCTGCAGCTGCCAGAACCACTTCTTTATAAAACACAATTTTGATTACTGCTCTCCCAGAGATATCCAGCGAACAGTCATGGTAATCCCAACCCAGACTGCCTCCCAAGATAAAGAATATCAAAATAAACACCACAAGAATCACAGTGCTGACAGTGCTCTTATTAAATATTTTACCCTTAATTTTTTAAACTAAGCAAAGCTTTCAAAGGATTTCCAATCTGCCACGCAAAAGTGCTGCAGAGCCTGGAGAGTTTGCTGCCAAGGGGACACAGCTTTGATTATGCCTCTTGCTACTATACATGTGCTGGTGCCTTGTTATCAGATGTGACATTTTATATACTTGCTTAAATAACCCACTGAGGGTTATCTGACAGGCCCACCACACTGAGATTCATACACTATTGGGAGAAAACAGCTTTGCCGCACATTGTAAACTCACCATTTCTTCATGGCTTTCAAAATTCTCTGGGATCACAAGTGAAGTTTTCTGAGTTTCTTCCACAGTCTCTTCACTCTCCACCCCATCTCCTGTAAGACAAGGGAGACAAACCAAGGAGTTACAATGCACCAGACAGTTCAGCCCACGCCAGCTTTTTAGCTGGAGAAAAAGATCAACTGTATTTACTCACCTTCCACTCGAAGCAACATTTTGCCATCCAGCTCTGCTGCTAACTGACTGACTTGAGCCTGCAGCTCTTTGTTTTCTTTGGCTACAGCAGCCAGACTATCCTGGAAGAAAGAAGTAGGAGCTCACTAGAGAGGCAGGATGGACTCTATGCACCTGAAACATGCACCAGAAAGTTTCACTACAAATTCATGAGCAACAGGAAAGCTCCATGTTTTGGCCCCAAGCACTTCCTATGCCTCTCTAGTATAGTACTATAGTGACAAAGTCCTGCTTCCCATCCAACTCCTCCTCTCTTACCTTGGTCTGCTGTAGCTCCTTAAGGTGCATCTCCACTGTCACTTTGCCCTGAACTTCCTCATGCTGCAACCGGTCCATGAGCTGTGTTTGAAGCAAAAACTGCTTGTGTAACTCCTCCTTCTCAGCAGCCAGATGCTGGTATGCCACAGTGTATTGCTGCAAGTGACTGTAGTACTGATCCCGCTGCTCCTGCAGGCCCTGAGCCTCCTGGGTTTTCAGCTCCACCTGGCACACAGCAACATCCAACCCCATTATCAATAATTCTGTGCACATACATTGAGCAGCAGCTATTATTTCAGGAAGTACCACTGTCTGATCAAAGCCTCCAAGTATGGACAGACAGACAACTAACCCTGAGGTAAGCAGGGGTACTCTGACACGTCAGTACTTTGTAGTAACTGGTTGTGTATCTGCTCTTACAACGCACTAAACAGTGTGTAGGTCCATACTGTCATTCCTACTGGGCACCACTCATATAACACCACCTTCCTTTTTATCACAGAGAATAAGAAGTTCTGATTTTCATGGCAGAAGTGGTGACTGACAGTACACCCAACTCCTGCCATATAGCTGGATCCAAAAAGAACTGTCAATATCAATCCTCAAATCAACAAGGGACATTTCACTCTACTGAACACCACCTGCCCGCAAAATGCGAGATCTCCACAGTAGGATTTAGACAAGGTAAACTGGGGGGACTATCTCTGCGTTTGTTCCTTATTACATCAGTCTTACAGTAGAGCTTGTAAGCTGTCAGCCCTTCTATATCACACACTGGTGTGGTAGCACCCTGCTGCCCAGACACCCTGCGCATACCGTCTCCTTGACCTCAGCCAGTTTTTCCTGCAGCTGCCCAATCTTCTTGGCCAGCTCCTTTTTTACATGCTGCTCAGACTGCAGGGCACTCGTCACCTCCATGTTCTCATTTGTCTGCAAAAAAATGCATAACCGCTATGAGACAGGCCCAAATTAACATCAAAAACTCTTACACTGTACTCCGCAAGCCAAGGCAATGGGTCACATTCAGTCCTGACAGAACATGAAATCAAGGCATGTTTCAGTGGCTGCATTTCACCTACAGAGGAAAACCAACAGGTGATTAAAGTTTAGAAAAAACTGTGGGGGAATGATGGACTGGGGATCAGTAAAGGAAATGTAAATGTATCACAAAAAAGTGAGGTCTTGGCAAATAGCATAGCCTTGCTATCCTTCAAGTATGCAGGTAGCCTAAGAACACACAGAATGATAAGGGTTAGGAAACAAAGCAATGATCTTGTAGACAGCTAAAGTGAGCACATAGCTGGAGGGGCAACAGGAGGAAATGAAAGCAGTCGTGCCCCCACCTACACCTCTATGTACAACCCTGAAAGACAGGCTGAGGAGTTCAGACAGCTGCAATGTAGGCGAAAAGCGAGAAAAAGGATTCAGGATTGAGAAGGGCAAAAAGGCAGTGGAAGAGACGAAAGCAGCTGGGAAGAACCCCCTCACAGGCAACATGCATGCAAATAGGGGGACAGAAAAAGACAAGAGAGATGGAGGAAGAGGAATAAAAGCAGCTTAAGGTTTGAGGAAAGGGAGGGAAGGAAACCCCTTGGCACAAGCAGAGATACTAGATAATCCACTGAAAGCTTACTAGAGAGTTTGAGAGATGGCAATAAGTCTCCTAGCACAGTATGATCTAATACTGGAGGTTCAATAACCAAAGCACCAGATGGCAAGATAAGGCCAATATTTCTGCCAGGCCCTTATCACTGTATGTGCTGCTGCATGATTGCACCATGGGAGAAGATGCACCAAGAGACATACCAGCTTGACAAACCCATTCTGCAGCTCAGCCAGCTGCTCCTTCAGCTCCCGGTTTTGGCTCAGAGCTCGGCTGATGGTGGCCTTGTCGCTCTGCATGTTCTCCAGGATCTGTTGTCTGTCCACAGACTCGTCGCTGTAACGCTGCACCGTCTTCTCAAGCTCTAGCAGTTGCTCCTCCTGCTCCCGGTTGAGACGGCTCAGCTGCTCATTATCCCGAACTTGAACCTGGTACTGTCCATGAAGCTCCCCCTTTTCTTTCTGCAATCTCTGGACCTCCTCCTGCAGACTCAGCTCAGCTTCTGTGGGTCCGGCCAGTGGGGCAGGCTCACTATCCTTGGATTTCACTGCTGGGAAAGTGGAGTCACAACCAGCTGGTCAGAGCAGCTCCACTCATGCACACACAAGTTAGAAAGGTAAAACCCTTGTTATGTGAACATGCTTTCCCCACCCAATCTACTACGCTGGGCCCAGTACCAAAGGATGGGATGATGACAGCATAATCCAACCCTTCCTCTGGCAGCAGGACAAAGGAGAAAGCCACAACAGTGCAGCCATCAGCTTGCTGCAGCATGCTGTTAAAAGCCTTCTGAATTGGGGAGCAGAGAGAGCTACATGCTAAGCAGGCACTGATATATCAGAGTTCTTTTTACTTCCCAGTCCGAGTAATTCACTAGGACCAGGAGCTGCAAGTTTGCTTCAGGTAGATACGAAAAGAGGTTAGTGTATTCTTGAGTGCTGGTGTGAAGGGTCTTTTTAATGTTCACTAGGTCAGAAGGTTTCCTCATGTACATTAGTCTTTCCAATTGTTCTGCTAGTTTTGGGGTAACAAATCTGGTTGCCCAAACTTTTACATAAGGAGAATGGGTAGAGCCCCCCTCTAGCCTGCTGGTACCTCACCTTAAGCTCAAAATAGTTGGTCCTACCTGCTTTGCTGAGAAGCTGAGCAATACTGTCTTCAAGCTCCTGAATCTGCATCACATTCTTCTCCTTTTCCTCTGTCAGTGTTCGGACCTATGTGGTCACAGAGGGAGGACTTAAAACAAGTACTTGCCACGCATTTCCTCCTGTTGAATCAGCCTTGAGGTCCTCAATATCATTAATAATAATGCCTCTGCACACAGAGAATACAGCACTGCTGTTTTTACCTGCTCAGACAGCTGCTGTAACCGCTGCTGCCAGATACTGCCCTCCTCCTTCAACTTCTCCACATACTGATCTCTTTCCGCCTGGAGCTGGTGAAGCGACTCTGACAGCTGCTCAGGAAGAGAAAAAACTGCATCAGTTAAGTGAAATGAAAAACTGTCAATTGAAGGAAGACAAAAAACATACCAGTGCAAGTGCAGAGCCTCAGCCAGTATTGCCCTGCTGCACAAAGGTCACAATATTGACCAGAAGCATATTCAATCTCTTACCTGAGTGACCTGTGTTTCTAGGTTTGCCCGTTCTTCCAATGCCAGTTGCAGCTGCTGGTTTGCATCCAGATTCCCCGACTGATTTGTAAACTGCCAGAAGAGGCAAATAAGTTACAGCCAGCATTCCTTGTTTTTTCTTTATAATTCCTTCTTGATAGCAACCTCTGATGTGATCCTTTTGGCAATTTCTATGGTTCTGCAAACTGTTCTAGTTCAACACAAGTTAACATTAAAAAAAAAAAATATATGGTCTGGTCTGAGCTGAAAGATCGCTGTTTAGAAATGGAAGGGTTTGGGGGTTTCTTAGCCCTCTGGAAAAGATCTATGGGGCGTGTAAAGGGAACAGTAATGGCTAATGTATTCCGATAGATTGGCAGTATACTTCTTTCTTTTCCAGAAAATATAATTTAGTAAAAATATTACTGGGCTCAATATAGTGATAACTGGGTGTAATTCTAGAGTGTGACACATATAGACTAAATAATCTCACCTTAAGATCTATAAAATGCACCAGAGGAGCTAGTATCTAGAGAATCACCACTCCAACGCCCTCTGAGAATAAGCTTCCTGTTCCTGACAATCATCAGTGAAGACCTTTTAACTTCAAAATTGTCCCTTAAATTTTGTATGCAGCTTGGAAAATGGCAGTGGGTAAATTATGATTATATCAATTTTCTAGTGGCATACTACCCTTACTTCCCAAGGTCACAGCAAGCCCTACCCCGCAATCAAGAATATCCACTCCACAGTAACACTGCAGTCACCTGTTGAATCATCAGTTCAGCCATTTCCAGTTTCTTATGCAAATCTTCCGCATCCAGTTTCATGGCTGAATTTTCAGAAACCAGGGAGCGCAGCTTCTCCAAAAGCTCAGAGTTCTGCTGCTTCAGTTCCTCACTGCCTTTGCTGAGAGAGACACAGAAATAATAAACTAGCTATGATCCTTACTTTCACCAGTGGCTCTGTTGTTCATGTGACTAGTTCATAGACTCGTCCATTCTGGTGACTGGAATGAAGTCATGTTGTGCAGAGGAAGGGAAAGCCAGTGCGAGAAGACAGTTCTACCAAAGTTCAGCACTGCTGGCTCTGCAGTAACAGAAAACTGAACTCACCTGTGCTTGTACAGTTCCAATTTCAGGTTGTCTCGTTCCTTCACTAGCTCTTTATTATGCTGGAAAAAGATTGAAAAAAAACAAAGGACTCAACCCCAGACTTTAAAGAAAGAAAAAAAAATTAAGCTGCCTATTATTAAACCTTCTGTTGATCAGCTAATGTGGAACTAAAAAACCCAAAGCTTCATATTCGCAGGAATACTCCTGGCCACTAGGGCTGAAACCTCAGAATGGACTTGCTCGGAAGCTCATATTTAGCTATAGTTGGCTGGCACTGGAGCCAAGTCTGTCACCCCATCAAACTTCATACAAAGCCTGAACTCGCCAGGAACTCATCTGTTCAGAGTCTTTTCAGACATGACACCACCAACTAGCCAGGAGGTTTTGCAGCAAGCTTCTGGATCAGCATCAATGCTCAAATGTCTCTTTGATGGAGGACTCCTGGACAGAAGCTGTGGTTGGGTTTTCATTGTTTGAATCTGGCAAGACAAATGAAGCAAGGTGCCAGATCTGAAGCCAGGACCAAAAAATAGTGGCTGTATAAAAATTAAAGAAACCTGCCTTGGTCACAGAGGGTACAAAACTGTGGTCTGGTCTCCCCCTCTTCTCAGAGATTGCAATATATGCAGCAGTCGCATGAAAAATTAAATGGGAAAGAGGACAACTGCTGATGACAGCGTAAGAAGAGGGAATTCTTACTTTTTCTGACTGCTTCTGCTGTGTAGAAATGGAAGACAGGGTGCGTTCCAGCTCTGATACCCTCTGGCGAGATGACTGCAACCGAGTAGCAAGGTCTTCAGCTTCTCCTGAACAAGTCAAAACAGACTTACGTGGAACAAAGTTCTAAACAGCTTCACAGAAGTGACTAAACAATGTTTTCTGTTGAGCCAGCAAGTTCTTACACTCTTTTAAGGAAAGTAGCACATTGTCTGCCAGTTCAGAGAGTTGTGTTCTGTTCCTCACTCTTCCACCAAGTCATTTCAGCTTTGGGAAAATTAACCTCCTTGTGCTTCAGCTTATTTTTAAAATGGAGATAATAAATACTCCCTTTAGAAAGCATTAGGTGCTTATTATTATTTTTCTAATGCAGAAAATTGCTGGAGTTCATTTGAGAATGAAACACTCAGGCAAATTTATCTTACCATGATTGCTGTGGTATTCAACTCAAAAGCAACCAACAGGATGGCAAGAAAGGAACAGCCTGGGGTAATCACCAGGTCCTAACAGTCATGACAGAGCTTTAACAACATACAAAAGAACTGTGCTTCCCATGGGATTAATGTGCTGTGATTCTGGGTACAGCCGTGATGACAGATGCAATAATTGTGCCAAGTATTGCTCATTAAGAAGTCACTGAGTGTTGTAGGCTGGCTGCCAATGAATTAGTGCGCATGACTTGAATCCTCAGCTTTTCCAACTGAATCAGGTTTGGAATAGACCCCAGAGTTCATCTAGTCCAATTTTTTGCTCAAATGTTGAATGGGCTAGTTCTAAACCATCCTAGGGAAAAAAAAAATACATATCCAGCCTCTTCTTGAATGTTCAAAGGTGATCTACCTGTTTTCTGCCGGGCAGCTTGTTGCGTATGTCCTAGTGCTGTCTGTAATTCTGATTTCTCAGAAACTAGGATGCCAATAGTCTGAATATGAACCTTTGGGGAAAAAAAGAGCAGCTCAATGTAAGTCATTTTCACTTGGCACTATATCTCCCCAGCAGTCAGAGAAGGACAATTCAGTAAAGAAAGAAAGGACTAACATAAGATCCAAGACTAAGCATACAGCCTGGTTGATTGGTTGCCTTTTCCTGAAAGCATGAATGAAAACATGCAATGGCTTTCAGAAGGAAAACTATTCAGCATTAGTAGCTCAGATGAAAGCTAAATGAGAGGCTTGACCAAAACAGAAGTTCTGACTTACCTGTAGCTGTTCCCTCAGTGCTGCTTGCTCTTTGACAAACTTCTGTTCAAACTCTTTCTTCTCCTGCATAAACAAACCGTGGACATTAAACCCAGAACTTTTAGTTTTAAAATGTTAAATGGAAAATGTTAATTATATTAAACAAACGATGTGTATTTTAATTGCAGCATTATTAGCATCTAAATAATACAAAAAATTTTTAGAAATCTACTATTTTCTTCATTTAAGCCTCATTTATTTTTCGTACTTCACGTGGTCTGGACAGTGACAGGTTCTCTTGCACTAACACAATCCTGCACTGTTTGGATGGCAAACTACTAAAAGAAAGCCATTTCCACTGAAGAGCTTTGAAATTCATTAAACACTATTTTAATATTACATGCTGTTAAAAGTAAGTTAAAAAAACTATTTGGGGGGCTTAAACCATTCAGTAGTTTTTATAAAGGACAAGAGACAGAACATTCAAACCTAAAATCATGTCTCATCTGTAACTCATGGCATCATAGAAAGACAAGGAGAGGGAGGGAAATGTACACGTTATAAACAAAGCAATAAGCTGTGAAGCTTGATATGGTTTTGTAATTTGAAATTAAAAAAAAACCCAAGATACACTAGTCAGGGAATGGGCTGCATCACTATCAAAAAAACTAAAAGAGAAACATAATTATAAATGTATAGTGTATTAAATGTTTTCTTTTCAGGGAGTTTTAACCAGACATACATTAAAGGTTTGTGAAAGAAGACTGAAATGGATAGCGTTTTTCTTTTACGCAAGTGAGTATTTTGGTTTGTTGTTCAAATACATTTGTCTATGGAAAGCAATATAAGCTTTATACTTATGAGTCTGTTTTTAACCAAACAAGAAAAATACTTCTGCTTTCTATCAGGTATACTTTTAAATTATGCAGTGCCACCTGCACATTCTTTACATCAATTCCCTCAACAAAAGGGTGTATCATGAATACTCTGCTCCCAAGGGGAACAGAAATTTATCCTAAGACTACGGCTACTGGGATGCCTTTTACCTTCTCCAACTGATTCACAGCCTCTTGATTCTGCTGTTTCTGCAGGAGCAAAACAGATGATCAGTACTAAGCAATTTTGTCATACTGCTCCAATCTGTAAATGCATTTGCCATCTTAACCAGATGCTTGCGATACATACGTGTAGCAAATGCAAACAGGAATTCCATTAAACCATTCTGACATTTTCTACAAAGACAGGTTTTAACTATTAAAAATACTAGACTTTGGACTAACAGCATATGGACGTAGTGACACATGCTATCCAGTTCCGGATATACTTTTCAGTCCTCAGTAGAACTACCACATTTCACAGTAAAAATGTTACTAAGGTAACAGAACCCTGAATTCTTATATTTGAGATACACACCACCTTACATTAAACTTGCATCCTACATTCTAAGGTTTTTATCATTGTAGTATTTGATATGCCCCAACAATATATTAGAATCCTATTAAAAGAATATATTCCCTCCTCCTTTCCCTTAGGTGAAACTTTAAGCATACCATTGACAATATGTCAAAATCATGATCCAGCATAAAGATGAACCTTTATGCCATGCAGAGTCCTAGTTAAGTTGACGGGGTTCTGCAAGGGACATGGGATTTTGGTCATGTGGAACAGATTACAGGACTGAAGTCAAAATACACAGCAAGGGCCAGTGTATACAAATCCTGTCGCTATATACTTTAATTTCCTGTGAGACGTGGTTGAAGTGAGCAGAAAGCAGGGTGTGCTAACCCAGGGGTGTGCACATGGGATGAAGGAGAAGAGGGGTACAGAGACTCTGCACCAGGCTATGCTAGCAGCCACAGGAACAACCACAAATCTGCTATATTCAGCAATGTTTCTGTTTGCTGTTGATGGCCACCTGTGTCTTTGCCACAGCAGTTTCAGAGTCCCCTCATTGCCAGCAACATGGCTACTACTCCCCCACAAAGAATGAACACTGATCAAATACTTCCCTGCAATCCTATTGAAAAACACAATTTAGGAAAGTGGCAGTACTGGAGATAAACTATAAGAGGCTTTGATCATAGCGCCACCACTAGACAAGAGCAAGTTGAGGAACGTAGGATAGGCCCTGTGTAAAACTCTAGGCAAGAGACCACTTCATATGCCTGTCCAGAAGTAGATAGCCACTGGTGATCAATGCTCCAATACCAGGTGCCTCTACAGGTCAGCCTCAAGAGAAACGAGGATGCAGTAGAGGGAGGAAGGAGAGAAGAACAAAATAATGGAGCAAAACAAAAGGGGTGATAGGATACATGGGAGAGTCCTGTACTTCAGAGGCAAAAGTGGTGGGGAACAAGCCAAGGAAAAACCACTTCAGATCAAGCGTATTTCTTTTCAGATTGTGCAGGCATTTCTTGAAGTATTAAAGCAAGAGGGTAAAAAGCAGCAGCAATAATTCAAGCAGGCCACGGAATGCAGCAGTTCATTCATAGTGCCACAGATGCTGAGATAATGATCAGACCCAAGCCCCTGGGCTATCTCCTAACCCCCCTTACTCCCATTCTGCAGACAAAGTAATACCAGAAAGATCAACCAAAGAAATTACAGATTTTCCAGTCACTGCCTGTGGACAAGATTCTGCTTCTACTGAGCTTGGTGAGTGCAGATCGTATCCAGCATTAGTTGTTTTATCATGAAGCTAGCCACCCTGGCAAAATACGAAGAGATCAATATTGTATGGATCTTATTTCATGTTATTTCATTTCCCTCATACACGCCAATACATTTGGGAGTCTTCTTTTAATCTGACTTTTCACCATCTAACTGGGTGGTCCCACAAAATCCACTTTGTTCCCTGAAAAATGCTGTGCAAGCAGCTTCCCTTTGTGGCACTGTAAAAGAACCCATAACCTTGCAGACACCCAGAGAGCATGGAGGAGCAAAGACAACGTCAAACTGGTTGGCTGGATTGTTTCTTACCAATTCCTCTATCTTTGTAATGAGCTGTTTGTTAGTTAGATTGCTGGAATCTAGGGCTACTGCCAGCTCCTGGTAACGTGTCTGATGGGCGCATGCAGACAGGTGGAGGAGAAGGTAGAGGGGCAGAGGAGGAGGGAAAAAAAGAAAATAATTAAAAAGGACAGAAAGTAAATCAATATCACAGTTTTGAATCTGATTCGGATTTCCCCCAAATATACTGAGCTTTCAACAAGTTTGAATCAGATATCAAGGTGTTTTATATATTTGTTTAAGGCCTGAATCTCATTTAAAAAATACTGAGAGTACTAGCTGCATTTAGAAGGTCTTATTAGTTCCAACCCTCCAGTTGGAAATTTCCACAGATGCCCGTCTCCAGCTGCCCTCCGATGTGGTAGTTATGCATGAACAGGGCAACAAATAGGTCTCAACATCATTACAGTGATGGTCCCACTGTGTAATTGGTAAAAGGTGCTAACCCAGTGAATGAGAAAAAAAAAATATCAGACTAAGCAGGACTTACTTCCATTTCCTTTATATTTGTGGAAGAAACACCACTTTCCCCATTCACATAGGATGTGGACTACAAGAAAAATTGACATACAAAATAACTGTTTTATTTATCAATACAAAATAGGAGATGACCTTCCATATCCCCAACAGTATACTATTATTTATACCATGCCTTTCTCTTGAGGATTATCAAGGCACCAAGCAAAAGCAGATAATATCTATTTCTCTGAGTAAAGGTATGCAACTTGTACATCTCTATGTACAATCACATCCAGAAATGTTCTTACATGAAATATACAGGCCACGTACTTCAGATTTATTGCCATGAATTAAGAGAGTGTGTTTCATGGATATAAGCTGCTCCCCCCTCCCACTCTGGTTCTCTTCCTACTGGTGGAGTTTCACATTCCTACAACAATAGTTTCTACTTTTCAGGGTTTAAAAGTCTTACTGTTTAGTGGGTTGGCTGCAAAGAACTCTGGGACTGATGAGAACATTCCTGAGCTGGCTACTTAAACCCCCACTTCTGAAATTTAGAAGAAATTGCATTCCATTTATCCTGTTAATGAGGCCAAACCTGAGAGACCAAGCCATTGAGCTGCTCAGACAGCTGGCGAAGACTCTCTGTTGAAGACAGGGACCTACAAACAGAAAAAGATAGCACGTTGTTTTACAGGGTCTATTTGGGAACTGGCCAAACTAGCACAGGAGGCATTTTGATAGCAAACACTTTTGTCATCCCCTTTTGAACCCTATTATAGGTGCCTTTTATCAAACAAAAGGTAATACACACACGCACCTGTTTTCATCCAAGGCATTTTTATGACCATCAGCATCATGCATCTATGGAGTAAGACAGAAGAGTCACAAGACTATAGCAGAGAGAAACATACTTGAGCACCCCAAGGTTTGCACTGGATAACCTCTGCCTTTACTGTAATCCATTCAAATATTACTTAAATATTCATAGCACATCCCAAGTCAGGTCCAGGTTGTGGATCATTTCTGCTTATTCTGAGACCTCCAGAAAAGATCTTGAGTGATATATTAAGCCAGGTCAGTTCAAAGTCTTTAGTGGCAAAAACATACTGCCTTCCTAAAGAGCTGAAACTTAATTCTCGAATTCTTTAAAGAACAGAGGCCTACTCCTTCTGAGGAATCACATGTTTTCTTAGGGATGCTCCTTACTAACTGAGTTGGGGGAAGGAAGGAGCACAGGATAAGTTTCTTTATGTGGTGAAAAGTTCATTTTGCTTTCAAAGTTGGACCAAGATTGAGTGGAAAGGAGAGATGTTACACTTGACTGGAAATCTCACATGACCCTTGACATATTAATACAAACACACTTCTGCTTAACACAAACAGCATCACTAGCGTGTCAATGCAAAGGCTCACAAACCTGTGACAATGGCATGCTACTGGAAGCAGGTGTGACAGAGCCACAGCTAGGAAGACTGTTGCTGTTAGATAACACAGGGACATCGGCAGCCAGCTGTTCAGCATTATGAGCGGTAACATCACTGTCAAAGTATGCCTGTCACAAAACATATCACAGGGATTACAGCTACATGCTGAATGAGGGGAGAGAGAAACACACCCTTACAAGATTTCTGTGCACGAAACAAGGTGAACATTGTGGTTATCTACAAACAGGTGCATTGGCAAACAAATCTGTGTTCTCCCCAGAGCAAACAGGTCAATTCATCAACCTGTTTTTCTCCACTGAATGCTACACAGTCATGTTACCCCAGCTCAAATGGGACCTAGAAGGCTTTCATGTAGAATTAGTGTCTAGGACAGTAATTTTACCACATACTTAAGTAACAGCACTGCTATATATGCTACAAGGGAACTAAAGCAGGCAGGGCAAGACCAATGCCAAATCTATTCTCTCTGCTTTGCAAAGCACCATCTTCATTCTGCCACTGGGGAAAACACTGATCAACAGATGCAAAATAAGATTAAAAGAATGGGTTAATAACTAATCAAGTACTTGGTTAGTTCAAATCAAGCACCCCTTTTCCCCTCACCCTCTTTACTGAAATTGAGAGTTGCTGTGAACTGAAAAGGGTTTGACACCAAGATATAGAGCATTATAAATCAAAACACCAAATTCAGCCCTTGAGGTAAGCAGGTGTGACCCCCTAATGGAATCAAAAGGAGCCGATACCACTCCTGCCATGAATGAGTTTGGTCTACATGAGCGTTAAAAATGTTATCTTTGCATCACTGCAGACAAATAAATGTACCATTTTGGGGATGGGTATGATCAACCACTATCTACTATTGAGCCACAGAGCAACCAGACAATTCGTCATCTGCCTGATCTTGAACCTTAATGGGACTCCGGGATTTTTTTTCCCCGTTTTCTGTGCACCCTGGCAGTCTGGCAATCCCTGTCATCATATTACCCTAACCAGAGCTATCAATACATACTGACATTACAAAGCAAACATTAAAGCAGGCCATCAATAAATAGTCTCAGCAAGATTCTGTGGCTCCCTACAAGTTAATTTAATACCATGTCTTCTCTTATTCTAGCCTAGTTCCTGACTGTTCAGAGGGAATCCAAAGCATTTATCTCCTCTCTTCCTCCTTCCCAACTGTTTGGAGGGGCAGAGGAGGGTCTGGGTGTCACCTGTTCACCACTTCTTATGCGAGTCAGGCAGTCAACTCTGAAGACAGATTTCAAAACAACAATTAGGGAATGCCTGAACTAAACTGACAAGAAAGAGATTGGAATGTTTAGAAGTCTTTTTTAGCAAGGCAGGTTCTTGCTGTCAGGGATCAATATATATTGAATTTTCCTTGGAGGATCATGTATTGTTCAACTCCTTCCCACTGCATCCTATCTCAGGTTTCCTCACGCTAATATTGGTTCAGAAAAATCAACAAAATAGAGCAAAAAGTGGATAGAAGGGATCCCCCCCATCATATCAATAAAATATATTAAATTAAGTTGATAGTATCCTACCCTGAAACTCTCTCTACATGTATCTAATGCATCATGCTAAAAGGTGTGATGGTTGTCCTGAAAAAATGGTCACACAAAAAAAGATTCCTTCAAAAAAAAAAAAGACGTCTGAAGTGAAAGCAGCTTGAAGACCTAATTTGCAGGGAGGGGAAAAGGGAAGGGACAGCAAGGAATTTGTCAGAAATTCTAACACAGCAATTCAACCAACTACAGTTGTGAAATGCTAATAACCTGAAGAAGCTAATGACTCAGTCCAGCCCAATATATACCAGCAGCCATTTGCTTTTTCTTACAAGTTTCCTGGTTTGTCAGGTTTTCTCCCCCTTTCACAACCAGAAAGCTACAGCAGATGAGGTGGGAAGGATTTGCCTGCCTGTGTTAAGGCACCAATGAAGGCATTAGCTCAGATGCCAGCATTCAGCTTTTCTACCTATTAGCATTGGGTGAGTGTTTAAAGCAGTGTTTCCCTGACTCAGGAGTTCTACCAGCAAGACAACTGGGAAGAGAAATTCGAAGTATAGTCTGTAATGAGAGAGAGAGCAACTTGGAAATCAGTCTGAGGCCCTGGGCATTGTTATCTGCAGCCTCCAAGACGAAAATCTGTAACAGCTACTCAGTCCAAAATGCACTGGTGCATGCAAAGAAAGCAGAGAAAGGCACTTGGGACATGAAGACTAACGGAAGAGTAACGTTTCCATATTCACAACAGCACAAACACAGCAGGTATGGATTAGGCCCTCATTTTGAGATTAGCCACTGACACAGAAAAATTATTCGTACATCCTACCTCAACCTGTCCTTGAACAAGCATCAGTTCTCTTTCTGATGTGTCCATCTGATAAGCTTAATGTAAATTATACTTCCAATGTGCTGCATTCAACCCCACAGGAAAGCACCTGTCAAGTGCTCTTACCATGCTAGCGCTGCTCTCCCATATAACATCCCACAGAAATACCCCGCTTGCAAGAGCTTTGTGCCAGGCACTGCAAGTCTCTGATGGGAGAGCTGCTGCATTAATATGCAAGGAAAACTAGTGAAAGTCTTATTTTATCTATCACATCATGCAGGTTTCACAGCAGAGTCACTCTACTCCACCTGGTGATTAACATAGTTATGTCTATGGGTGGAACAAAAAGAAAAGGATGCAAGGCAGGTATAATGAAATGCTGGGCTTGAAAGCTTAAGGTGAAGAGAGTTGTGGACACTATACAAGTTAATAGGTAATTGAGGTTTTAGGAAAGCAAGAACTAAGTACTTCCTGAATCATCATGTTTTATTTTGCATTTTCTGTGTTTCTATCAACATTTTAGCCTTCTTTAATTTATGAGACTACTTTTATGAAACATGTTGAAAATTAAAAGGCTGGTAGAAGCTTGCTCTCTCATACTTGTATTTTATTACAGATAAGAATCTTCCCAGTCCCTTTGCTGCCAGAACTACAGGCAACATGAAGACATTAGAGCTAGTTAACACTTGCTACAAAGTATCTGACTTCCTGCCTAGACATATTTAAAACCATGCTACTTGCCAGATTGCATCACGTGTGCAAATTTCATCACCTGTCACAAAATGAGCTGGCTGGAATAACTACACAGTTTACTTAGGGCAACTGCTGGATTAGAGATGAGCAAGAACATGTCCTTCAGAGATGAGGCACTAATAAATAAAACAGTGACATGCAAACAGGAAAATCACAGATCTAGAAAATAAACACAGTCTGTGGCCCAGTTTGAACAATGCTTTTATATGCCCCATGCCGCATCTTTGTGGGAACAAAGTGTATGGGGAAAAGGAGTGGCAAGGTGTTTACTACTCATACCATCACCCAGGATCTCCGATACAATTCCAAACTGCCTGATCTCACAAGTCTATCTTAAGGGAAGCTGGTACAGTTCACATCTTTGCGTTTTAAACGTGACGCAAATCAGAAGGAAACACACAAGTAGGAGCAACAGAGAGGCACATTAAAAGGAAAAAAAAAGCTCAAGGTTAATGAAAACAGCAGCAAAACTCAAGCAACTGACAACAAATATGCCAGAATGAAGCTTCATCCAAAAAAATCGAGAGGCAGTTTAAAGAGAACTTGAAGCATGCAGTAAGGACAGCAAACTAGTCAGAGGGATGCCGAACACTGCCTCACCTTCCTCTTGTCCAATGAGGGTATGGCTACCCCATTGGATCGATTAAGGTCTGACACCAGCACCTTCAGTATGTTCTGAATCTAAAGGAAGTGAAAGAAAGTGGAAAGAGAAATGGCTCAGAAAGACAGAGTGAGACACCAATCAAAGGGTGGCTGCAACCAAAGGACCTTGCATTCACTCTCCCTTTACCAAAATGGATGTCGAAACATAGGATCAATCACAGAAAACGAGGGCTGGAAGGGACCCCAGGAGGTCAGATCTAGTCCAACCTCCTGCTCAAAGCAGAACCAGCCCCAACTAGATCATCCCAGCCAGGGCTTTGTCTACCTGGGTCTTCAAAATCTTTAAGGATGGAGATTTCACCACCTCTCTGGGTAGCCTGTTTCAGTGCTTTACCACTCTCCTAGTGACAAAGTGCTCCCTCATCGCTAACCTGAATGTCCCTTGCTGCAACTTGAGACCCTCGCTCCTCGTCCTGTCATCTGCCACCCCTGAGAACCGCCATCCTCTTTGTTACCCCCGCTTCAGAGAGTCGAAGGCGGCTCTCACCTCTCATCTTCCCTTCTCCAGGCCAAACAAGCCCAGTCCCTTCACTGCTCGTGTGCCCCGACCCCTCACATCCATGTCAATGTTTTTCTTGCTGGGGTCACTTGATCCCAGCTGACTTCCTGCCCGTGGCAGGGTGGTGGAGGCTAGACTCGATCTCACGAGTCCCTTCCAGCCTCCGATGTCTATGAAATCCACACTGCGCGCTCTGGAGTCAAGAACGGCTTCGCCAGCGGACCCGGCCCCAGCCCGTGGCGCCGGGTCCCATTAGCGGCTGCGGGTTGCGGACCCCGTCCGTCCCCGGTGTGCATCGCGACGCGACCGGGCGAGCGCGGGACACTCACGTTCTCGGGCGACGGCCTGTCCCTGTCGTCGGCGCCGGTCGGCGTGTCGGGCCGGTTGCCCTCCTTGTTCTTGCGCTTCTTCTTGGCCGCGGCCCCGGGCCCGGGGCTGTTCTTCTGCTGGAACTCCTTCAGCTGCGGGGGAG